TTACCCCAGTTTGTGGTGGGAGTGTGAGGAGCTGGGAGCAAGAGGTGCAAGGAGTTGAGAGGGTGTGCTGCTGGAGGACTGAGGAGCATAAGTGTTATCAGACACCAGGAGGAAGGTCCTGTGGTGAGAATAAGGGAGGTGTTTGGAGGAGGCCATGGGGAAGTAGCCCAGGGAGTTGTAGCTGTCATGCAGCTGTTACAGGAGGCACTATAGACAGCTGCAGTCCACAGGGCCCTGGGCTGGAACCCGGCGTAGAGGGCAGGCCTGGGTTCCCGCCAAACCTCCCAATTGACCTGGACTGTGGGTTCTCCCAGAGGGGAAAGTCTCTGGGCTGTTCCCCAACCCACATGGTGAATCTCTGAGGCAAGAAAATCCGCCAATAAGTGCAGGACCCACCAAGATAGGAGGAACTTTGTCACACTACATAATTAGTGTTTCTATGTTATAGATTCATTTCACTACAGGAAAATGGTGTAATATTAGTTAATTATTCTTTTAATTCTGGAGACGTTACATGTTAGATTATAAATTTTAGGGTGACTAAAATTCAGGCTTAAATCTTTAATTGTATTGCTGACATGCACAAGTTTGTTTCTTTATATAGCTGAAGACATGCTGAGATGTGTATTAAGTGCAGCAATGAAATATTAACCTTCTGTGGGAAGCAAGAAAAACTGCAGGCTTTCAAGTTTTGCATTGTTTTGTCTGGGGATTGATTGCAAGCTTGGGGCAGTAGTTTTCATCAAGATGTCACACACCAGCTTTTCTCTCCCATCCTCCTTCATCATCTTATCTTTTAGGGATGAGGTATAAAAAGGTCTCCTATGACAGTGGTAGCTATCTACAGTGCAAACACAAACAGAAACCACCAACGTATGCTCATGTTGCTTTAAACAAAACCAAGCTTTAATTAAAGAATGGATCAAGCTACCAGCAAGCCATTTGGGGGGAGTGGACCCCTGTGGTCTAATCTAATTTCATTGCACTCAATTTTTCCACCACATCTAATGATTTCAGACACAACAAAGTAATTTACAAATTAAATCAACATGTGTTTATTCATCTTGTATAGAAAGTAATAATATTTTTCTGCATGTTATCATCCTGGAAACACCATAACATTCAACAATGAAAATACACTAACAATGTATTTTCATTTCTGACTGTACATCACAACATTTTCTAAAAACAGGCATTCCCAGGAGCCCAGAGCAAGGCATATTTCTTCAATATTTTTTTCTTTGGGTACAAAACCAAATCAGTGAATATATTAGCTATTTTTTAAATCCATAACAAATATAAACATGTTTATCCCTCCTTGCTGTGCTGAAAACCAGAGAGAGGCTTCCAGACAATTTTGTTCAGCATGGAGATACCAAGTTGATTGGAGCCTTAGACATATCTGAAATAGATTAGACAAATAGTTTGACAGTCTCAAAGATTTAGGCATTTTACCAAGCCTGGAAGAGCCCCAGGAGATCAATAAATCTGGTGAAATATGCAGTTTCAGTCTTGTGATACCAGAGATGCAATGATTTGTGTAATAGCCTCCAAACAAAGCTTTAAAGTGGTCCCTTGTTCGACCCTAGAAAACTTTTAAGAGCTCCCTTCTCACATCGTACCCCTGCTCCCTGTGTTAAGGAGTAATAGACAGATACCAAATTCGTAAAATATTTTGTTTTTCAGCAGCAATGTACTATATAGTAACTTCTAAAGAGTGATCAAAAACATATATTATCCATAAGAGTAACTATACCAACTTAAGGAAAATATTAGCGCCCCAATCTGTGAAATGCATCCAGGCCCATCCTGGCTGGTAAAAGCCAGTGAAGAACAACTATTGCACTAGTAGTAAAAATAGTCAGGGCTTCTTCAGCGAAGCATACCTACTGCAAAACATGATAGTTCAGTCAATTTTCAATCTGGAAGACTTCTCCAACTACTGTCCTGTCTCCAGCCTTCCATTCCTGGGCAAAATAATTGAGAAAGTAGAAACCACTGATCTTCAACAACATGGACATCAGCCAACATTTGGTATTGGATGCCTCACAATCGGTTCAGATCAGGACACAGCAACCTTCTTATGACGATTGACACAGGCAAGATCGCCATGCTCATCGAGCTGGACCTCTCCGCATCCGTTGACACAAAGTACTGTTAAAACAACCTACATGACATAACAGGAGTAAATGGTCCAGCATCACAGTGGTTCCAGTCATTCCTCTACAGCAAACCTCAGCGTGGTGATGGGTAACTGTTCCTCATTGCTAAAGACCCTTGCTTGCAGAGTCCCCCAGATATCTGTACTACCCCTCTTTTCTTCAATATCTACATGAGATCACTGGGAGAGACAGACACACATGGGTTCAGCTGTCAGAAGTATGCTGATTACACTCAACTATATATTTCATTCTCTGTGGATGCAGCCACTGTCATTGCTGAAATGTCAGAATGTGTACAAGAAATCAATGCCTGCATGAACGTAGCTGGCTCAAGTTGAACCCAGGCAAGGCCAAAGTTATGCTGGTCAGAAAGGGGAATCATTTTCAAGAGCCAGCTAGGATGTTGTCTCCACTTTCCATTGAAGGCGTGCAGTACCCATTCATCAAAGTGGCATGGGCCTCAAGGTCCTGTTTGACTCCTCACTTTGTCCCTTCCTCCTGAACAAGGAACCAGCCACAGTGATCCATACATTTCTCATCTCCAGTCTCGATTACTGTAATTCACTGGATCTGAAACTTAATGTGAAGAAGATACACAAGCTCTAACTGTTATAGACTATGTCTATACACCATCTCCCTGACTTAGACTGCTGTGAGCACATCAGATCTTTGCTCTAATCCCTCGTCTGGCTCCTAGTCAGATTCTGATGCCAGTTTAAAGCTCTGGTTCTAATTTTCAAAGCAATTAATGCATCAAGCCTTAATTACATTAAAAAGCATATTTCAATTTATGAACCACTGTGTCAGCTGTACTCCTCTGGGACAATGCAAATCACTAGGGACTTTGCTATTGCTACTGATTTCATGTGTAAGGTGCTCAGATAGTGCTGTGATGAGCGGCAGTATAAAACCTGTAATATAGACCGATAAAATAGATTAACTTTTAAGATGAGAGAAAAAGTTGAGAAATAATTATGTATTGATATACAAATAATCAAATGTGCTCTCCTTTTCTTGCTCCACTCCTCAAAATTTTATCTCTTCCCACAGACATTTCCAACATGATCCCTTTCACAAAACACATATCCCTTTTGAATTTATGAGACTAGGATTCAGTGAAAAAATAGTATGATTGTGGAAAGTGTCATGAACACGGCCAAAGGGAATATATGTTTTTCATTTGAATGCTTTAAAGGTCTCCACCATTTGTTTCCAGCTGTTAACTAGGTTCCACAAAGTGTGGGTATCTTTCAGATGTAGGTCTTCTAATCTTATATTATACCTGCACCATCATTTTTACATTGTCTTCCTTCAAAATAATTTTATTACAGCAGTTACGGCTATATAATGCAAAAACTATGTCAGTTAAAGAAATATTCAGAGGATGACCACAGGGTAAAGAATTAGAATAGAATTTTGGAAACAATGAAGAGAAATAGTGATACTAATGAGAAGAAAAATGACAAGGGGTAGTTGGCTTGTACACGTCTGTTTTTTTTCCCCCATATATTTAATGAAAGTTTGACATATTTCTATATAAGTAGTGTTTTTGTCTGTTTTAATACTGGTGAGTTTTTCCAATGATCAATTGTTTGATGCTGCCTATTTTCAAATAACATGCCTGAAAGTGATGTGTGTGAGGCATAAATATTGTGGTGCTAGATGGAACGGTTATATTAATATGATGCACACTGTGCGGAGTTGTCCCAAGTTTGCATTTTTACTGTGCATTGCTTTTGCCCTGCTCAGAGCCTTCATACATCACTATAATTAGGGATAGATGTGTGTTTAAGATGTGCATAAGGGTTTACACTGCCTTTTAATCATGGGTTATATATAGCAATTAAATCAAAACAAAACCTCCATTTTTTTCCAGTCTTCCAAGATAAATCAAATATTTTGATGACACTGAAAAATGGCATGAATAATATTTCAATAATCACTCATGTCTGCACCTTACATACCTTTAAAATAGTGTTCCTTGATGAGACTCTAAATGATTTTTTTTTTGCTTTATTCATTTGAAACATCATGGTAAATGATGTAGACATATTTTATTTTAGGGATTCATGAAATCAAAGTTATGTACACATCTGTTGAAAATCTGCTAAAGATTGTGTGATAGGAACATTTTTGTATAGTGCCCTATTTATATGCTGCCTTGCTGATTGCATTTTAAGAGAGTGCCTCCCTGCGCTGATGACATTCAGTTTTCTAATTCACTTTTAATAAGGCAATCCTTTTCTGAGATTTATTTCCTTACGATAATGAAGTAGGATTACTGAGGAATTAACAGCAATGCTATTAACATTTTTTTTCCTTTGGTATAGCCTTATGCTTTCTGTTTGAAAGTAAGTTGAGATTTATTTTTCCTAGGCCAGTGCAACCAATGCAAGAGCTGAAGACGAAAAGACAGCTGAGAAAATAATTCTCTGGAGAAATTAGGATACCTGTGTGTTTGAGGTATGTTTGCTTTATAAATCATATAAACTATTTTTCAGTCTTTCTGCTTGTGTTTAAAAATAATTGTTACTGTTTTTGAACATTTGTTCTTAATCACATCTTCTAAAGATGTACGTGTTGCTTCACTTTAGGGAAAGCCCAGAAGAATTGGGCATTATTTATTTATTCATTCAATTTTTCCCTTGCATTTGATACTTCTAAGCTACTGGAAATTATTTTGTTTAGAAATCGGTTTCTGTTTTATCTATGTACAATACAACAGCCATACCGAGCTGTCTATGGAGGCTAGTTATATCCAGACAAAGACTAGTAACTTGTGATTCTACCCTGTTAATAAACATTGCATTTGCAACTGTTCTCCAAGTGCCTGGTTGATGAAATAGGAATTGGAAAATAGGATGGTATTTAAATGTTCTGAAAGAAATCATAGACACTTCTCAGACCGTGTCGCAAGGTTAGCTTCAGGATATTAGAGCTGTCTCTACAATTCATGTTTGTGTTTAGTGATTTTAAGTGAAGCTTCTACCAGTTCAATGTGCAAAAATAGTTTGTAAGTAAATTCCATATAGCTTGATATGAGTTCAGCAGGTGGACAACAGAAGGCAATCAGTAGGTATGCAGGCCAATGGAGGCTGTACTGAGAAAATCCAGGATCTGCTTTGAAGGAATTAAATTAGCATGATTAGCCCTGTCACCCCAGGTTACAGAAGTAGTTCTGATTTTAGTGGGTTTGATTCAGCCTATGTAAATTTCACCTACAGATTTTATAGTGAAGCTACATCTATCCACTTGGTCCTAATGTAAAGGTTCTTATACATATAGCTATCAGCACACTCACAACTCCATTTTACAGCAACAAAAGTAGCTTTTGTCCTGCTCTTACTGCTGTCATTGGTTAGGCTTGAGCTGAGGAATTGCATCACAAATGTCCTAAACTGTTACAAGAGAAACACCATAAACATGCAGCTGATAGCTAGACACACAGCTTCCCAAAGACATTGTAATGCAATGGGAGGTTTGGGGGTCCAGAACAGACTGACTGTTTTCTGTTACTATTTGGAGACATCTAGGACTGGGACCCATCTGTTTTCCCTCCTCCATTGGCAACCCCAGTTTTACCTTCCCTTGGATAGGTCGAGGAGCCAAACATTTTCAGTTATTATTCAGAAACACTGAGTTTTCCCAAATAGCAATTTTCAGGCTGTGCCAAGTGTTATTTCTTCCATCTACACTTGGCTAGGAAGTTGCTATTGTTTTGTTACTGGTGTAAGCATATGGTAGCTGTATTTCCAATTTATTTCCCTTTTCAATTCAAGGTGTTAGCTTTGAGCTCTGAAAGCTTTTTATGATTTCAGTCCAGGCAACCTTAAAAAAACACTTCTTTTCTCATGTTCTTCCCCCAAAGTTGAGATCAGCTGGTGTGGGGCTTGGTAGCAGGGTATTTTTGAGGAAGCTTTTCCAGCTGCAGGATGCATGGCCTCTCTGTAGCCCTGCCCAGGACTTTTGACCCATGATCCTCACCTGTTGCTAAAGCCTTTGCTTGAAGATGTTGGTTGGACAGGTTTGGTGGTCTGTTAGAGGTTAAATTGTTGAGTCCTTTAAACTGGATTCTGTATAGTATAGTATTCCCTAGTTGACATTGGCTCAGTTTTTTTAATTATTATTTCATTAACATAATACAAATAAATCAAAATAATATCTGATTCCCAAACGTCAGCCCTAGTTTAGGAGCCTTATAGTCCATTCA